TCTTCCCCACACTCTCCCTTGTTACCCACACAGCGCCCTTCACCTCCGAAGTACCACCTTCGCCCTCACCTCCCCTGCACCCTCTTGCGGCCCAGGCTATGGCCGCCAGTGCCCTCAGTGCAGGCAGCGCCCTACCGCCTAGCGCTGCCTTGCACAGCGCGGCACACATGCATCCGCGCAGCGTGCCCGCATGTGCCAGCATTGGCCAAGATTGTGCCAGCATTGGCCAAGATTCCTGATGCCTCGCCCTGCTTGCCTATATGCAAATGCAGCATGTGGGCGGCCTCCCTTCAGCCTGCGACCGGGACCCAGAGGCTGAAGCCTTCCTGATACAGTTGGGCCTCGGAGCAATGCAGTTGCGCCTTTCTTCTCAAGGCCTGCGGCCAGATTCAGATAGTGGCCCAATTTTCCCTTTGGCATTTCGGCCTCTCTACCCAGCATGCATTGTCGGCCTCACGTTCGAGTGCCCAGGGCCTCACTAACTCAGAGGCCCTGGGCATTTCAGCATTTGCTGAAATCCGAGACTCGGTGCACTCCGACCAACTGGCGTGCTGCAACTATATAGACCCCACTTCGTGAAATGTTGGCCGAGAGGGCTCTTGTTGATTTGCCGGCCCCCCTTCACTTAGGGCGGGCGCTAGGCTTGCTGGGGCCTTAGCCCAGAACATGTACGTCATGGCAAGGTCCCTACTTGAGGGCTCAATCCTCACACTTCAATTAGACAATAAATAGAAATAGCAAGAAAACTAAATTTTTTCAACTAGATTTTTCTGTATCTATATTTCGAATTTTATATTTTTCTATCAAACTTTTTTATTCTCAGAAAAACCTATACATCTTTGAACGTTCTTTGAACGTTCCTGGAACAATCGATATCAAACTTGGCAATTCATGAGACGAAGAGACCGGATAAAACCACCTCAGGATAAAATAACAATTCACAATTATTTTGATTCTGTTCACATCTGATTACATCTGGATTCGAACTTCGACTCTTGGGTCTGTATTTCAACTCTTGATTCTGTTGACTACCGTCTTCACCCGCATAGAACGCCCGGTAATTATGGCCGTATCTGGACTGAAAAATGTATCAAATACAGGTATAATGACCGGGCGTTCTATTCGGGTGAAAACGGTAAGCCCATTGACTTTTTCGTAGACACGAAACGCATTAGGAGGTGGTTTTATCCGATCTCTTCCTCTCATGCATTGTCAAGATTGATCTCGATTGTTCCACGAACATTCAAAGATCTTTCCCGCCAATTCAAAGATTTTTCCCACCAATTCGAAGATTTTTCCCGCCAATTCAAACATTTTTCCCGCCAATTCAAACATTTTTCCCGCCAATTTAGATATACCTACAGTAATATCGTTTTCGCCTTCCCCGGCCTTGACCGAGATCTCGGCATTCTCAAGAGTACGAACTTTCCCGCCAATTTCCATCAGATGCACTCTGGGCAGCACGGTCTTATCCTTATCCTTTTATCCTTTTATCCTTGACCTTATCCGTTTGTCACGAGGAAATAAACGGTGTTGAGATGAACACACTTCCACTTGAGAAGGCCGTACTGAGTGTACGGACGGAACGTACTTGTCATCGGAGCACTGAAAGATCGGACCCTCAGCTTGTGTGACTTAAGCTTCCCATGAAATCTCCAAAAGAAGAAGAAGATCTTGATCACTCATGATTGGCCACAACTCACCTCCTCCTCCTCTTCCTCCTCTGTATTTTTCTCCTCTGCACTTTTCTCCTCTGCACTTTTCTCTTCTTCCTCCTCATACTCCTCATTCCCCTCCCTCTCCTTCTCTCTCACCTCCTTCTCCTCCTCCTCCTTCCGCTTATCCCACCACCTCCCCCTTCTACTACTACTCTCCCCCCTCCTCCTCCCCCCTTTCTCCTCCTCCCCCCCTTCTCCTCCTCCCCCTCTCCACCTTCTCCTTCTGCTCCTCCTCCTCTCCGTCCTCCGCCTCTCTAACGTCCTCCTCCTCCTCCTCCCTTCTCCTTCTCCTTCTCCTCCCTTCTTCTCCTCCTCCTCCTTCTCCTGCTCCTCCTAGCCCTTGCCCTCTTCCGCTGGACTTGAAAAATACCGCGGCAGCTCAATGACAAAGCGATTAACAGAGTCGGGATCGGGTGTCTGCCCCCACCCTTCGCAGGGTACCTTTTTCACATCCTTCACTCCGTGGCACGACCTTTTTTTTTTTTTTTTTTTTTTTACTTCGTCAGATCCACCACAAGTCCAATTGTCCTCGACCGCGCCCTCTGCTACCGAAGCAGAGGAGTGCAGGGGTGAACCCCCCCCCCCCCGCGGGCTTTATCGAGGAGGCCCTGAAAGCCTCACCCACAGGGGCTTTACATGGGGGTATTATTCACCCCAACGGTTCTCTCCGAAGAAGAGGCAATCCACCCATCCTTCTGGCACACGTCCAACACGATCAGTTGCTGACGTCATCGATTTGTATTCCCCGCCCCCCCTCCCCCTCCCCTCCTTCGTTTGCTTAGCCTAGAACGCTGAGTCAGACGACGAGGAGGAGGTCCCACAAAAAGAAAAAGAAAAAAAAAAAAAAACGAGGAGGAGAAGCAGCAGCACAGCGGCCAGTTCCCGAACTTCACCAGAAATTTGCAAATCAGGGTACCAAAGGGAACAAAAAGGAAGGAAAAAAAAAGACATCCGGTTTTCTTTTTTTTTTTTAACCATTAAATTTTTTTGGAACGATACACAGAGAGGTAAGATTAACAGCAACAGAAAAAAAAAAAAAAAAAAAAAGAAGGAAGAAGAAGAAGGGCGACCCTCACGAAAGAACGTAGTGGTTGATGATGATAGTAATCGGAAGAAATGCAACAATTCCGATGACGAGCACAAAAAATAATCATAATAATCATAATAATAAAATAAAAATGCGCGTCATCCTTGTGCAGTATCAAACAGAAAGCACATCGTCTCCGCGCAAGGATGACGCGCATCAAAAAAAAAAAAAAAAAAAAAAAAAAAAAAAAAAACAGAAAGCACATCGTCTCTGCGCAAGGACGACGCGCATTACCGAAAAAAAAAAAAAAAAAAGGGCAATACTCACGAAAGCACGAATAATCAGCAAGAAATCTTCATATGTTAATTTAGTATATCTCAATGAATTTTAAATTGATATTTTATTACTTAATATATACTTTTATACATCGATCTACTATAAATTAACTGATATTTTATTACATAATATATACTTTTATACACCGATCTACTATATATGTTACTGTATTTATATTAAACTGATTCATTAATATCTTTCACTTCTTTCTTTTCCCCACAATATTGACATACTTTACAATTATGAAATAAACACCATTTATTTAAAAAATAATATACGCCCAGAGAAAACACTAAACATGACTTGCACACGTACACACTATAAATGCAAAATGTCATTCGGCTGGATATCCGTTAAAATTGAAAGCGAAAAAAAAAAAGAAAAAAAAGAGGACGACGATATCGATTAGATAGATTAAAATAACACGGCCCTGCTCAAGGGTTAAAAAATAATAAAATAATAATAAAGTAAATACAATACGATACACACAAAATCAGAGCCAGGTCAGTTGCTTTTTGTTTTCTTTTTTGGAAAACTTTGTATAAATATATATTATATTAAATAATCAAATATCAATTGATTATAGGCTTTGTACTCGCATTGAGATGAAAAAAGGATGTAAATCTGTGTGAGAGAGAGAGAGAGAGAGAGAGAGAGAGAGAGAGAGAGAGAGAGAGAGAGAGAGAGAGAGATGACTAGAAATTTATAATTAAAACATTCCGCATTTACTTTAAAAAAAATAAAAAAATAAAAACCCTGGGATTTGTATTGGGGTGAAGACGGACGGTAACACCGTCCGCGGCAATTACCCTTTTTTTTTTTCTTTTTTTTTTTTGGGTTGGGGGGGGGGGGTACTTAAGCCTGATTCCATACGTTAGGAGGCGAGAAGGTAGCGAAGGGGGCTCGCTCCACAACTCTCTACATGCACAAAAGACAAAAATAATGGGGGTGTATATTTCCATGTTCTAGCGGAAGATTCACTCTCGTGGGCGGTGTATCTTTCCATGTTCTAGCGGAAGATCCACTCTGGTTTTGCACATTTCGAGAGTGGTGGAGCGAGGCCCAAGGTCTGGGACTACGGCCCTCGCCGCAGCACTCGCCAAATGTGAAAAAGACAAAAAAAAATAAAAATGGCGGTCGTATCTTTCCACGTTCTAGGGAAAGATACATTCTCATTTCGCACACTTGGCGAGTGGTCCCGCGAGGCCCTATCACAACCCACACATCTTTCCAGTCCCGATTTCATCCGAGTCCGTTTGCTTGTGTCTGTTCATGGGAGAGACGACGTACGCGGTGCGTGTGTGTGTGTGTGTGTGTGGTAGTGTTTTTTTTAAAAAGCCGCAATCTCTCTCTCTCTCTCTCTCTCTCTCTCTCTCTCTCTCTCTCTCTCTCTCTCTCTCTCCACATCCACGAATCATCACAAACCATACATAAAACGAAAAAACTATAGTTAGGCAATATAGTAGATAGTAGAAGATGCAAGGTTGGCCACGTTTGGTGTGTGTGTGTGTGTGTGTGTGTGCGTTGTCATGTTTGCCATACACAAGTCCACAAAAAGAAAAAAGACGCATGACTGTGCCAGAATGTTTCGTCGAACTTTCGTCGAACTTTCGTCCGAACATTCATATACAAACAGAAAGGCTTCGTCGAACGTTTAAGCTCTCGACTGCGCCAGACTCTTTCGTCGATCTTTCAGCGGAACATTCATACACATTCAGAACGGCTTCGTTCCCTCGAAGAAACTCACTCAACATCACGGTTAGTCAAACCATCTCTCTCTCTCTCTCTCTCTCTCTCACACACACACACACACACACACACACACAAGCGATTTAACATCGCGGTCTCTCTCTCTCTCTCTCTCTCTCTCTCTCTCTCTCTCTCTCTCTCTCTCTCTCTCTCTCTCTCTCTCTCTCTCTCTCCTGTTCCCTGCTCCTGTAAGCAACCCTTGGCCACAAACAAGTCCAACACAATTATACTTCAATTGCAGGTGGTAGCTGCTTTGGCTGAAAGAACTAGTTCAAAGGACTTCACCGCAAAACAACAGCCGCAAAGCAACACTACAATCTATACCTTATTAGTATTCTCTCTCCTATGCAAAAGCAGCAGCAGGAGGCATTCCGACGTCCCGGGGCAGAGACTTCCCGCGTGTTTTTGTTTTTCCGCTTTTTTTTTTATTCCTTGTTTTTTACTCGTACGACTTGCCACAAATCCATCTATACGTTCCTTGCTGCCCCTTTTCTCTGAGCTCGACGAGATACTCCCCCCTCTTGTCTATCAATCAGTCTTCTCAGCAGAGCCCATCATTTGACCATATTGCTAGTCTTTCCCCCTCCTATTTTTCTCCCCCTTCCCTCCCCCCCCCCTCCCCCTCGCTCCACCTCCTCTTCTTCTTCTTCTTCTTTTTCTTCTGAGCCCACCAAGCCCTCTCATCGTGTTGTGCTTCACTTCACAGCTCTCTTCTTTCCTCTTC